AAAAAAAAAAAAAAGAATCACATCATCAATAACTTCATTAATTTAGTTACTGCAGTTTTATTTCACAAGTCACAACACGAGTGTGATGTAAAACAATGCATTTGAAAGAAGGCTCACCTAAAGAGCTGTCATACCGACAAGCAGCTAGATTAAAGTTATCAACTTGTTCTGCAGGAAAATAGAAAGCATTGAGGTAAAAAGGAAAGAAAAAAAAAAAAAAATTAATCTACGAGCAAAATCATACAAACCGCGTGGTGCAACTTTACTTTACCTGACTTTGGTTTAGTGACACGTCTACTTCCCATGCAAGTTGGAAATCCCATAGAAAGATTGTTCACTGCATTTCGCTGTTTAAGAATAATAAAAAGTTTCATAATTGAAATAATATTAGTGTAGAAAGGCATACATTACATGAAACTAACCCAGGAAGCTTAAGCTATAAACAGTTTTAGAAGGAGTCGGTGGAATTACACTCCCCTGACACGCATAAAACTGTCAAGAACTTTTCTAGTAGCTCTACGGATGTAGCATTCATACCCTAAATTATTGAGGGTAAAATGTACTCCCTAACATGGTGAACGATTTTCATCACACTAAATTGCTACTATCATTAATATATACAGATAAACGACATTCTAAATTTGATAAATTTGGAAGTTATAATAATACATCCCAATATACTCCCTCCATTTCAATTTAAATAAAGATTTGGAGGAATTCGCATATATTAAATGAACATACAAGAATCCTACATAGCCATAATTAAAAACATTAATGGTATTCGGAGAAATACAAACATGTAATCGCTATTTTGTCGGGTTATTGGTCTATTGGGCTGGTCAATTTATTCCAGGGGAAAGCAAGAAGAATATCTAATATGTACAAAATTGTCCAACATCACCATTATATTTCCAAAAATTAGAACTTGCAATATGACTTCTATATTCAATAGGAGTGAGTATAAAAGAAGTCCATTTAGTGAAAAGTTTCTGCAACTTCAGTTTGTTCTGAATGAGGGAGACATTCATCGACATTTTTGTGGACTCTATGGAACAAAGCTTGTGAACACTAGAAGAAAATAATCAAATATATAATAGGTGTCCCATATAGCATTAATATACAGTTAGAAAACTCTAAGTTGCAGCTGGTTCAAACATTTATATCTACTTTAAATATGTTTCGAATATATATGTTTGGGACCACACCAAGTAAATTTCAATAGGTGAAAATGAAAGGCTTAAAGATCATTAAGCCAGGTCACCTGTAGTTCAAATTGTTCACATGCTAACACTTTCACTTCATAGTGCAACACCGCAAATCATAAATTTGAAATCCCACCAACTTTCATACCCATTACTATGAAAAGAAATAATCAATCACATTTATACAAAACACTCTTCTAGACCTTAATCTGTTGCGCGAATATATTTCACTCATGCAGTAATAATAAAAATGAAAAAGAAAATGAAATGGAATGAGGGAGGAGAAAGTATAGAAAAGGTTTTTAAAAGTCACGTTGAAATCCACCTTTTTCTCAAAGAACTACAAATATATAAAGAACCAAACCCTCTTCACCAATGGCTGAAATTTATGAATAAAAAATAAAAAGTGGATTGAAATTCAGATATTGAAAAATAATCAAACACGCTCACCTCAATTATTAAAGAATGATTCAACACAGTTAGAAAGCTCAATTTTTTATTGAAGTTGTATGCGGAAAACCTCATTTCAATGCCGTACAGACCATAACCCAATAACCCAATTCCTCAGTCAGAAAATCATACTTAAATACACACAGGGGTACGCACCGCGTGATTTTGGGCCGCCGACTGCGGCTCCGGCAGCGGCTTGCGCGGCTGACTGCCGCTCACGCCATTGCTACAGCCGGGATCGAATTTGCACGAGCTGCTCGGGACAGACGGCGGCGGAAAAATCCCACGACGGCTGAGGGCCGCCGGCGAGCGAGACTGACTCTCCAGATGCATTCTGGACACGGCCAGATTCAGGCTCAAATTCAGGTCCAGATTCTCCCCGGAGGCCGACATAGCATCAGAGTCAATTTCCACCCAAACCCAAAATAATCTCGCGGAAAAACTCAAAACGCACAAGCAACAGAAGAATCCGAAGAAAATCGCGGGGCAACTAGAAAAAAAATACAAAAAGCCAAAAGAAAAAAAAAAAGAAAAACTTTAATTGAGGGTGAGAAGGTTGAGGTTTTTTTGTGGGGTTTTGTTAAGAACATAGAAATTGAAAACAGCGGGAGAGGTGGAGGCGGCGAGTTCGAATCGGCGCGGCCCGCCCTTTCACGCCGCCTTCTTTTTTCATTTTTTCAACTATCGTATTAATGTACAGTTTTTGTGGGCCGCTAGTGTGGGGCCTATTGGGTTAACAAAGTATTGGGCTATTATCAACGGGCCCCCGCCTTTCCGTAAACGGGCTTTAATGAATATTTAAGAAAGTGAATAAAAGCTCTTTAATTAAAGTATAAAGAAAAAGCGGGGAAAATAGAAAAAAAAATGAAAAGGAATATCAATTGCAATTGTCTTGTTGGAAATGTGAAGTAACGTAACGAGGGAGAATGAAATCAAATAAAACGTGTGAAAAGTCAAAAGGAGTTGGTGAATTGAAATTCAAACTGGAATAAAATCGTGGAGATTTTCTGATCTCTATATTAATTAAAGATGTTAACTATAGACTATTTTACCGTTAATTTATAGAGAAAAATGACCAAAGTTGAAAAAGATACGACGTTTGAGAAATCCAATTATATGAAAAAATTAGTATTCGATCACGTGCATTTGCACAGATGTAAATAAAATTAAATATTATAAGTTATATTTATGTATATAATATAAAAATTATAAGTTATATAATTGTATTATATTTCAAACATATAGTATTATAAGTTATATTTATGTATATAATATTAAAATTATAAATTATATAATAGTATTATATTTTAAAATTTGATCATTGGTTAAAATAAATAGTACACACGATTTGATTGTATACGAATCACTATATTGATTGCATAAAATGTAATAAATATATACTTTTTATAATTTTGAGTGATCATGACCAATTAATTAGCTGAAAAATATTACATTTATTATAACAATTGCTTATGTGATTTTAAGAAATTTTACTATGACATAAAAAAAATTAATTTATTAATAAACAACATCTTCATCATATAAAAAAATATTGATTTTAGTGTAAAATATAATTTTATGTAACTTTCATATATTATTTAGTATAAAATATAATTATTAATTTTAATATTAACTATTATATTATTTAATAAAAAATATAATTATTAATCAATTAACATAAAATATAATAGTTTTTGTCTTAATTAACCCAAAAAAATGTAATGAAATATTTTCTTATTAATGAGATTGGGTGTATTAATGCCACATAAATAAAATTTATTAGGTTCTATTTATTAGGTTTTATTAATGATTTGCCACATAGGTAAAATTTATTAGGTTTTATTTATTAGGTAAAATTTATTGCTTAGCTAGCAATTATAGATATATAGATAACCATTAAGTACGTAAACCCTTTATATTTTATGAATCTGCAATGGTAGTTTTTGTATCATGTACCAATGTATCCACATATTTCTACACTCAAATATCATGCTTCAAAATATAGTAGTATAATATTTTATAGTATAATAATGATTTTTGTAATGAATTATGGTTATATAACTGTTCAACAGTCTAACAATTTCATTTGAAAAAAATTATATAGAGAATAAAAATGGTAAATCTTCTTATAGATTGACCTAACTATTAGATTAACATACTCTTATACTTAATCGCCAGATAAGAACATACTTTGGATTGAACTCGTGGGGAGTACTTCTTAATCCTTCACAAATATTCATATCTTATTAAAAAATGTCATATTTTAAAAAATAACATGAGCAAAAGTATAACATTTAAAAATATAAAATGATATAACCATTGAACAAACTATCATACTTTATAAACAAAAATGCATACTTATGGTAACTAATATCATTTTTTAGAGATTTGTAGAAAAAGTGTATATATATTTGCAGTGCCTCTTAAGACTCCATGAAAATGAAGCGCAGCATGCATATAAAGTATAAACCAACGATGAATAACTAAACTCTACGAAAATCTAACTACAAATCATAAAACTAACGTATTAATAACCAGAAAACCTATTCCTAAGTTATTTTGGTAATTTTTTTTCCAAGTAATACAACATAATCACTTGCTAATATCTGAATGTGAGAAAGATTACACCCGAAACAAAATCGGATTGTTATACATGTCGAGCTGAAAGAATGATAAAATGCATTCCATCAAACTGGAAATATAGTTAAA